AGGCTGGATTTGAACTCTGGTCCTCCTGACTTCAGGGCCGGTGCTCTCTCCACTGCGCCACCTAGCTGCCCCCATGTTATTGTTATTAATATCATTATTATTAACACGCCTCTGCTTGGATACCTATGGGAAATCACTCCTCCACAAGTATCTCCTTCCATTTCCAAACACCTGTAATTATTAGGAAATTTTTACCTGTAATAAGGAAAAAACTACAGCTTCCGATAATTGTTTTACCCTCCAGAGCCACACAAAGTAAGTCTCCTCTCTCTTTTAAGTGACAGCCCTTTAATATTTTAAGCCAGCTGCCAAAAACCCCTGCTAACTCATCTCTTCTCCAGGCTAAACATTGCCAGTTCCTTTCAACCAACCCTTGAATGAAATGGCTTTGAGTCACCTGGCGGCCCTCCTCTGGGCATATTCCAGCTTGTCCATGATTACTTCAGAACTTCAAGGCTCCATGAGTTTGATTTTAGGGGGGCTCCCCTCATCTTCTAATGGAGAGTATGACCTCTCCATGCTCAGCACATGGCCTCATGGCCACAAACACTCCTCTCTCAATAGCCAATCCTCTGATGAGAAGTCTTTCTGAACTTGGTCAAGCCGGTTCCTGACTTTGACTCAGATTTAAAGACTGGATCAGACTTGCTTTGCTGGTATACGTTCTCTGCTTTTGCATAGCCTCAGAGAGCTCAGGGCCACCTCCATGCCAGCATGAGGTGGCCTAGAATAGAGGAATTTGTCAACAAACCTTGTAAAATCTTCTCCACCTCTTGGCATCCCAAGTACATTCAGGTCTCAGCTCAGAAACCCCCTCCTGCCAAAAGCTTTTCATGATTCCCACAATTATTAACATCTCCATCCCCAGAAAAACAACTTTGTATTGACTGGACATATATTTAGTAATTACCCATTCGTGTTCATGTTGTTTGCCTCCAAGAAAAAAGCTTTTTTTTAAATCAACCATTCTATACCTTTGTTGAAATGAAGTTCCATTTAATTTTCATCCATATCAACTGTGAATGAAAGGCATACACCTTGTTTGGTAAGTGCACCCTCATTGCATTTCCTGGACAAACATACCGAGACACAATACAGGACATTCCTCATTCCTTTGGTCCAGACAGCTTTATTAAGTCTGGTGTCAATTCATAAATCTGAAGCTCCCAATTTTTTTATGGAAATTCCTTCCAAGCCTGGGAAGCATTCCGTTTGAAGCCCATTCCATAAATCTGAATATAAATGATGATTCCAGGGGAATGCCAGAGCAGACTCAGACTGACCCTGGAGAGCCGGCTGTTAAATCTTCAGCATGAGCATTTACACTTCAAAAATCCGCAAATGCCATGAATCAGGGCTTGATTTCTTGTTTGGTCGATTATCTCTAAACTTTAGAAAGTGAGGGAGAAAACATTACTGATGCAGATTAAACTTATGTGTCATGCCTCCTTTTGGGGGTGGGAGGAGAAGGTTGGTTGTTAAACATTAACCACATGCCCTTGATATATTCCCTGGTCACTCACTACTTCAACGATGGTAGGATAGCCCTTCTTCATCTCTTCTCCTTGCTTTTCAGGAACCATTCTGCCTGGGACAAAGCTTTTTTTTAATGTTTTTATTTTACTTTTTCTCATTACATGTAAAAGCAATTTTAACATTTTAAAATTATTTTTGAGTTCCAAATTCTCTCCATCTCCCCCTCCCTCCAACCCTCCTTGAGAAGGCAAGCACTTTGATATGTACAGTCATGCTAAATATATTTGCATATTAGGCATGTTGTAAATGAGAACACAGACCAAAAAGAAAAAAAAAAGGAAAAAAACACAAAAAAAAAACATTTAAAAAGAAAGCTTCATTCTGCATTCCAACTCCATCAGTTCTTTCTCTGAAGGTGGGATAGCATTTTTCATTGTAAGTCCTTCAAAATTTGTCTTAGATCATTGTACTGCTGAGAATAGCGAAGTCATTCACAGCTGATCATCATTATAATATTGCTGTTACTCTCTACAATGCTGTCCTGGTTCTGCTTGTTTCACTTTGTATCAGTCCATGCAAGTCTTCACAGGTTTTTCTGAAATCATCCTGCTCCTCATTTCTTATAGCACAATTGTATGCCATCATAGTCATACACCTCAGCTTGTCCAGCCATTCCTCACTTGATGGGCATCTCCTCAATTTTCAATTCTTGACCACCACAAAAAGAACTGCTATAGATATTTTTGTACATATAGGACCTCTTCCCTTTTCTTTGATCTCTTTAGAATACAGACCTAGCAGTGGTATTGCTGAGTCAAAAAGGCATTCACAGTTTTATGACCCTTTGGACATAGTTCCAAATCGCTCTCCAGAATGGCTGGATCAGTTTGCAACTCCACCAAGAGTGCATTAGTGTCCCCATTTTTCCACATCCCCTCCAGCATTTGTTTTCCTTTTCTGTCATATTAGCCAATATGATGGGTGTGAGGTGGTACCCCTAGTTATTTTAATTTGCATTTTTCTAATCAAGAGTTATTTACAGCATTTTTTCCTACAATTACAGGTAGCCTTGATTTCTTATTCTGAAAACTGCCTGCTCATATCTTTTGACCATTTATCAATTGGGGAACGACTTGTATTCTTATAGATTTGACTCATTGCTTTATAATCTGAGAAATGAGGCCTTTATCAGAGAAACTTGGCTGTAAAATTTTCCCCAGTTTCTTGCTTTCCTTCTAATCTTGGCTTCATTTTTAATTTAATGTAATCAAAATTATCAATTTTACATCCTGTGATCCTCTCCATCTCTTGTTCAGTCATAAATTCTTCCTTTATCCATAGATCTAGCAGGTAAAGTATTCCATGCTCCCCTAATTTGTTTATGATATACTTTATTTCTAAATCATGCAATCATTTTGACCTTATCTTGGTATACAGTGTGAGATGCTGGTCTATACCTAGTTTCTGCCAAACTGCTTCCCAGTTTTCCCAGCACCTTTTGTCAAACAGTGAATTCTTTTCCCAAAAGCTGGGGTCTTTGGGTTTATCAAACACTAAATTTCTATGGTTATTTGCTGTTGTTTTGTTATTTTATTTGATGTTATTTGTGTTTTGTGTACTTAATATAGTCTATTGATCCACTGTTCCATTTCTTAGCCAGTACCAGATTATTTTGACGATTACTGCTTTGTAATACAATTTGGGATCTTGTACTACTAGGCCACTTTCCTTCACATTTTTTTTCATTGATTCTCTTGCTAATTCTTGACCTTTTGTTCTTCTAGATGAATTTTGTTATTTTTTTCTAGCTGTATAAAATAATTTTGGTAGTTTGATTGGTATGGTACTGAATAAGTAAATTAATTTAGGTAAAAGAATCATTTTTATTATATTTTTCTAATAATTTAGATCTGACTTTATGTGAAAAGTGTTTTGTAATTGTGTTCATGTAGTTCCTGGGTTTGTCTTGGCAGATAGACTTCCAAGTATTTTATATTATCTGCAGTTATTTTACATAGAATTTCTCTTTCTATCTCTTCCTACTGGATTTTGTTGGTAACATATAGAAATGCTGATGATTTGTGTGGGTTTGCTTTATATCCTGCTACTTTGCTGAAGTTGTTAATTAATTAATTAAACTAGTTTTTTAGCTGGCTCTCTAGAATTCTCTAAATATACCATCATATCATCTGGAAAGAGTGATGGTTTTGTTTCCTCACTGCCTGTTCTAATTCCTTCAATTTCTTTTTCTTCTCTTATTGCTACAGTGAGTATTTGTAGTACAATACTGAATAATAGAGGTGATAATGGCCATCCTTGCTTCAGCTCTGATCTTATTGGGAAGGCTTTCTAGCTTATTCCTATTAGAGACAGTGTTTGCTGATGGTTTTAGACAGATTCTACTGATTACTTTAAGGAAAGCTCCATTTATTCCTATGCTTTCTAAAGTTTTTAACAGGAATTAGTGTTGTATTTTGTCAAAAGGTTTTTTCTATTTATATGGTCAATTATGCTGATTATGTTTTCCTAATATTGAACTAGCCCTGCATTCTTAGAATCAAAGCTTCTTTTTTAATATCAGAAACATTTTTATTCAGGAAGAGAATTAGAAGTTGATCGACATCATAAGCACTGAACATCACAAGAAATGAAATAACAGTATCTTAACAGAAAAGAAACTAGTTGGTGATGCAAAAGCCATCCTAGAAAGGTATGTATATATACGCATACACACAAATATACACATATGTAATATATTTCTTATTGCACATTAATTTCCCATTTTATATATCATAACTTTTCAGCCATTACCTAATTTCCGGATACCCACTTTGTTTCTAGTTCTTTGATATCACAAAGAGTGTTGCTATGAATATTTTGTTATGTATTTTAACTTTGTTCTCCTGTTTAATTTCCTCAGGGTATTTTCCCAATAGTTTATAAACCAAGAATATTTTAATTTTCTTGAATAATTCCAAACTGATATCCAGAATAGTCAGACCAATTCACAGTGTTATAACAATACTGTACCTGTCTTTCCACATTACCTCATACCAATGTTGTCATTATCTTTTCTGGATTATGTCTATGAAACATATTTCTGAATATGCCTTCTCAGGATTTCTAAAATCCATCCTCTGGCATCTATAAGGCCCTTGGGTTCAATATGTTACTTTTTTATTGCTATTTTTAAATTCATAGTCCACATTTACATGATAATTGTAAATACCATTTTGCTCTGAGAAATCTCTATCATACAATCAAAACTTCCTAAGAATGGGAACTGCTTTCATTTTTGTTTTTATGTCCCCTAGAGTCTTATATGGTAGCCAACATACAGCAGGAGCTTAGGAAGGGAGTAAGCATTTACATAGCACCTACTGTGTGCCAGGAACTGGGCTAAGTACTTTCACAATACCACCTCATTTGATCCTCACAATAACCCTATGAGGTAAGTACTGTTATTATCTCTATTTTACAGTTGAGGAAACTGAGGCAAACAGAGGTGAGGTGACTTGCCCAGGGTTACACATCAAATATGTGTCTGAGGCAGTGTTTGAACTCAAGTTTCCCGACTCCAGGCCATCCAAATCACCATCTAGCCATGTCTCCCAAATCCTGTATTTATGCACTTCCTTTTTTTCCATCTTAAATTTAAGACATTGCCCTAATCTGTTGAAATTCATCTCATTAAACTGGCTCATCATTCCCCCTACTGTGATATGTTTTTGGATCCTGATTTTGTCCTCCAATTTATTCAAGTCTCCTTCCAGTTCTATTTCAACTGCCAATTAATTGCCGTGCTATCAGCATCTTCATTGCAAAAGTGTTAGACAGAACGTACAAGGGAGAGGGAGCTCAGGGACAGTCCTGTTGAGATCTCCTTCCAGGTTGACACTTCTCAGTGCCAGTGGATGTTTGTTGGTGGGCCAATGTGGGGCAGACAGAGCTGTTTTGGGAAGTTCCCTACTCACAGCACTTGGTGAACTGCCAAAGCATAACTCTGATTGCCAGATCTCCTGACTACAACCCCAACTTGTTGAATTCGTGTGTTCTCTGGCCGTTCTTGGCTAACCAGTTGAGTTCCTAGCTTTTCTTTGCTTAGCCTGTCTTCCCATATCCCTTTTCCTTCATTGATGCAGACAAATCTCCTGCTGAAAAGCCATCACTATTATTTAGCTCCAGGTTCTCTCTCTTTTTACTTATCTTTCTCCTCTAGGTTGCCTTCATCTTCGTGGGACCCCATTAACCCACATTTCCATTTCCTTCTGTTACTGCAGAGTTTTCGTTCTTGGCTTCTTTCTCCCCTCGTTTTTTCTATCCTTTCTGATAAGCTACAACTGGAGAGACATTTTTCAAGCTCCACCACTTTCTGAAGCAATAAAGTGAGTTTGAATTTCACACACATATAGAATCGGTGATTTCCTCTGGCCAAAAGATGCACGTAGTACTGTGTCTCAGTTCCCTAGGAAAGTCCTGTCATTTCCCATAACTCCTGGAAGAGAAAAGTTCAGGGTTGAAATTCTAAGTAGTTAATAATTCCCAATGCTAACAGCCTGGATAAACTATCTGTGGGCTAAATCTGTGCAGCTAGCCTTGGAGTGTAGGGTCAGGTATCAGTAAGCCTGCCCTATATTGTACTCCAAGGACCCTGTCCCTTCATCTATTCTGGCTGTACCCCAAGTCAATTTTTTTTTTTGCCACTTAACAGGCAACTAAACCAAATTGGAAAACAAATGAGTAAATTCCGTCTTGTTCAGAGTTCTCCTGCTCTGGGCTATCCTTGGAAGAATGAAAATGGGGTGGAGAAAAGTATGGGATGAGGTTTTAGGAGGCTAAAGAGCTTCTGATCAGGCTCAGTGAATGCAGCTATGAGAGATTACATGGACAATATAGGAGCTAAGAAAAGCTAGAGTTTCCATGATGGTTCCCAAGTAATGTGCTGGGTTCTCACTGTTTCCCCAGGCTTCAAAATCATGTATTTTTCCCCAGATAAATTCTTGCTTATTCCCTTCAGTAGGTTTTAGACAAACTTTCCAGAGGATAATCCTAAAAAGGTTATCCATTCTCACGCAAAGAATTCACCAGCAGTTTAGTGAAGGAGTTGGAACAGTTACAGGCCAAGTAATGCAGTGTAGAACTCCCTAAGGGGCCTCTCTCCCAACTTGAACCCACTCTCACAGGTTGGGTCCTCAGAAGGTGGCTGACTACTATTCCCAAGGGTCCTGAGGTAATCCTGAAGGGTTCTAAGCTTCTAGTAATGTTAGTCATGAGCCCCCCCATGTGCTTCACATTAATACCAGGCAACCAGACTTCCATTAGCTTTTAGAAAAGGTATTTACTAAGGTGGTTTACTTAGTTAAATAGAGGGAAGGGATGGTGAACAAATGCAGTCAGCTGACAGAATCTCCCATGCAGAAGAGGCTGTGGAGCCTGCTTTCAGGGAGGAGTGATGATATATAATGGAAGTGTTTTGCTTCTGGAACTAGTGCATGCATGGAATTCTTACAGTTGTTTCTGGTTTGCTATTCACATGAAGAGGGTATGGATTATTGATTGGAGATATAGTCAAAACAGATACATTCAAAAGACCACTCTCTTGGATTGGAAATTAGCAGCATTGGATAGGAAGTTGAGGCTGTTGAGGACGTCTGGCTCTCTCTCACCCAGAGCCACCATGATGCTGAGCACGCATGGTCTTATTATAGCTTCTGTCTCTGATGTATCCATTCTATCCTACTTCTAGGTCAAAGAGATCGTAAACTTCAGAAGGTCAGGAGAACCAGAAGTAGAGTTCACATTCAGCATTGCAACCCGACAATCCAGAAGTGAAGCCCTGAGGAGCAAGGTGCAGCCTTTGGGATCTACCTAAGAGGTAGTTAAGATGTGAACAGATCCAAAATCTAGGTTGCATTTGTATATGAACTTGGTAAGATCAATGCTATGCAGAAATTGCATTAAATCTAAGCTCACTCGCCTCAGATCAAGGTGATATAGGAGAGGATGTTTCCCCCAGGTGTTGGAGGGAAATTTTGGGGCTTCTGTTCTCACTAAACCTTTGAAGTAAATATCTTCTGTAAAAAGTTATTAAAGGTTTTTGGTTAAATGGAATTGGGTCATGACTCAGTGGTAGCTAAGAAGGGAGGTAGCTGGTGGATAAAACACATCAGAATGGAGGCTTAAGTCAATAGCCTTGGAGAAAAGTCAAGGGAATGAGCCCTAGAATCCTGAGGGTTGGGGGGTGGATATAGCCACACTTGCTCAAAGACAATGAGGCCAAAGCAACTGCTACTCCAACAACATTCTCCCGAATGTCTGGGAGGGAAACAATTCTTCCTCCCCTTGCATACACAAGGTCCCGGGGAAGTAGACCCAAACTGATAGTATAATGGCATTGAAACACATTAAAGGGATATCCCCTAGCTCCTAGCTCTCCCTTTGATTAGTGTTCATAAAATTTGTTTCAGGGTGGGGTGTCAAGAATGGAGGGGTCACTCCACCCGATTGGCCCCTTGTAAGGTAATACATCTTGGCTAGAAAGATCGATCCACTGCTGGGCTGGGCCAAACTCCTATTGGGCCAGGCTGCCCAGCTCCCACTTTATAACCTCTACAGACCTTGTGATACATATTTACAAGGTCACTGCCTGGGCACCTCTATCTCAAAATTATTGTTCAGTCACCTCTTGACATCTCTTAGGCACCTAGGTGGTGCAGTGGACAGACCACTGGCCTTGGAGTCAGGAAGACTTTATCTTCACGAGTTCAAATACATCCTCAAATACTTACTAGTTGTGTGACCCTGAGAAAGTCACTTAATATTATTTGCCTCAGTTTCCTCATCTGTAAAAATGAGTTGCAGATGGAAATGGCAAACCACTAAATTATCTTTGCCAAGAAAATCCCAAATGGGGTCATGAAGAGTCAGACATGACTGAAAAATGACTGAACAACAAAAAAAAACATCTTTTTACTCCCGTGGATATTGCCACTGGCTTTGGTGGACTCTCTTATTAACCGCAGTCACTAGTGGGACCTCTGATAGGACCTCTGGATCTTGACAACTCACAAGGTTGTTGTCTTGACATGTCCACCTCGGAATACTCGGTCACCTAAATAGAAAATGAATAAACACAAGACAGAAGCAGCCATGTACACACGTCCTCCTTGGTTGAGTAGGAGATAGGGTAGTCACCCTCCCCCTTTAGCTCCCTCAGGACGTGAGCCCTGAGACTTGCCACCTTCCAGACATGAGGTGAGAGAACTGAGGTGCTTTCTCAGGACACCCTTTATCTGACCTTGCTATGTCTCTCTGCTCCTAACAAGATCAGTTTTCTCCTAGTGGTTCAATTTCTCCAGTAATATGGTCAACGGGGTAAGAGGGTAGGAAAGAGAAAGAAACTCTGTCCTCACCCCACCAAGAGTGATCTCCTTTGAACTTGGACCTTTCACCATAGATCTGGAATCTGGAAGACCTGAGTTCAAATCCAGCCTTGGACACTTAATAGCTGCATGACCCTGGGCAAGTCACTTAATCTCTCTCTGCTCCAGTTTCTTTACTGAAACTAATCCTCATATACCATGGACTTAAGGCCCTTTAGCTGCCTGGTTGCCCTCCTCTGGACATTCTCCGACTTATCAAAATCCTTCCAAAGCACACATTGTTCAGGAGAGGTCTGATGAGGTCACAGTGTAGTGGGACTATCACCTCCCTTTTCCTGAAAGCTCTGTCTCTCCTAATGCAGCCTGGGATTCCATCAGATTTTTTGTCTGCCAACTCACACTGCTGACTCATTTTCCTGGTGGCTCTGGGTAGAAGCCAGTTGTCTTAAATTTTATTCTCCAGCTGCCTCTAGAGAAGAGAGCTCCTCCTGGAGGTTGTGGGGTTGGGACTTTGGGTCTACGACTGGGGTTCCATCCTTAACCCAATTAATCAATCAACAGAGGAAACTAGGTATTAAGGGATTGACCTCATAAGAATGTGTAGACAATCCCTTAATGAATGTCAAGGCTCATGGGGTTTTTGGCTGTTAGATGAAAGGCAGATGATGACACACAGCAAACATCTTGTGATTAGTTGAGATGAAGTAAGAACTCTTGGGTTTTCTACAAAAATAGCAGTTAGTCCACTGGTGAACTGATGAAAGCTGCGTATGAGTCTACTGGTAGTAATAGGCAGCTAGGTGGCACAGTGGATAGAGTGCCAGACTCAGGTCAAGAGGACCTGAGTTCAAATCTAGCCTCAGTCACTTCCTAGTGTCTTGGGCAAGTCACTTAACTGCTGTCTGCCTCTGTTTTGTCATCTGTAAAATAAGCCAGAGAAGGAAATGGCAAACCACTCTAGTATCTCTAACAAGAAAACCCCAAATGGGGTCCCAAAGAGTCAGACACAACTGAACAACAAGGTAGGAGCTATTATTATCCTATTTTTCAGATAAGGAAACTGAGGCAAACAGATGACTTGCCCAGGATCACATAGCTAGTAAGTGTCTGAGGCTGGATTTGAACTTGGGTCTTCCCCTTTGCCTCTCCACAAAGCTTCTCTGCCTGGATTCTCCTGAAAGGAAGTTCCCCCTCCATATCAAAGGACCCCAGACTCTCTTGTACATCTGCAAATATTCTAGCCTGTGATGCTCTAGTATCTTGGTGACAGTATGTTTGGGGAAGGAATTACAAAAAAAAAATTTTTTTTAATTAGAAGGAATCCCAATAGCCATGTAGTCCAATTAATAACTGAAAGAAAATCCCCACCATAACATCGTAATAATAGCTAGCATTTACATAGCACTTTAAGATCTATAAAATGCTTTACAAACATTATCTCGTTTAAATGTCACAATAACCCTGGGAGATAGGGGCTACTATCATTTCCCCTATTTTACAGGTGAAGAAACTAAGGCGTACACAGGGTAAGTGACTTGCCCAGGGTCACACAGCCCATACGTGTTTAAGGCTGGATTTGAACTCAAGTTTTCTTGACTCCACACCCAGTGTTCTATCCACTGTGCCATCTAACTGCCTCAGCATCACTTAAATGTTCATTCAGCCTATACTTGAATATCTCTGAAACCAGTGCCCTTTCATAGTAAATGCTTAATAAATTGTGGATGTGATTTCTTCCTGCCCCCAATTATTACTTGACCCAAGGCCTTGTGTGGAAAAATGACTGATAATAGAGGACTTTGCTACTCACCATTTTTTGTTATCATTTGCTCCTGCTGTACCACCCCCCCCCACAGGATATTTTTAAACCCTCACAACAAATACATGTAGTCCTGCATAGCAAATCCTCATCTAATATATATGTTTCATACTGTTTTAAGTCCATCACCACTCTGGCAGGAAATAGGTGGCCCTCTGAACTTGGAGTTTATCTTTGTATTAATCAGCATTTTAAAGTCTTCCAAAGTTGTTTTTCTCTATAACATTGCTATCATTGTATAAATGAGCACCTTCTCTTCCTGGACCATTAGGACTGCAATAGACATAGGCTCCTGACAGGAAGAAATTGACAAGAAGACAGATCAGTGATGAAACCTTATGGACGGATGTCAAGTAATGTTTATTTTTTCTACCTGTTTCTCTTGAGAAGCTAATGCTTCCTGCATTGCCACACAGAACATTGGGGTGTCTGGGCAGATTGTGGCTCAGCTGTGTGTGGACAGTGGTCACGGGTTATGGCCACTGACTTCCTGGTGATAGTAAACTGACCCAGGGATCAGAGCCCAGGAGATTTATGGAACTAAAGTGGGATGGGACTGGTCAGTTGCTGGGTTGGAGAGAAGGCAAGGCAACTTCCCTGAGGCAAATGCTTTGGAGTTGTCCCTCTGACACCTAAAGGGGGGATGTTGGGAAGACACTGTGCAGAGGGCTTTGGGGAAATGATTGGGCAAAGTGCCACTGAAAAGAACATGACAGTGTTCTTTGCTATATTTAATAAAGCACGTGCCTACAGACAGTTGATTTTCTGCATACTATAAATATAGGGAGTCGAGACTGAGTGACGAGATTTCCCTTGGGTGTAAGTAGAAGTTGGATCCATAGGTTTTTCTATTTTAATAATCTCAAGCTATATTTGATATCAGTCCCTAGTTGGGACTGAAAAACCCAGTCATTGAGGCTTTCATTCCTGGAAGGCTTTGAGGCCAAGACTTGACTTTTAAAGAAACCAATAGAGACCCCAAGGGTTCAGAAGGATTTGCCGAATCAAACTCTGATTCCTCTTCTTCCATTCAATTCAGAAAAAAATTAATCAATACTTAACTTCCAAGATTCTATGCTAGGTATTAGGGAACAAAGAAAAAACAGCATTGTCTATTCACTTAAGGAATTTATATTTCTACTGAAGGGGGAGTTAGGATGCACAAGCAGAAAATTATAATTAAAGAAGGAAGAGGCAGCATCTGGGCTGAGCTTTGAAGGAAGATAAAAACTCTGAAGTGGAGCTGAGGAGGGAGTGCATTTAATCAAACAAGCAACAAGTATTTCTTAAGTGCCTACTCTGAGCCAAGCACCATGCTAGGCATTGGGTTTACAAATATGCTAAATAAAACAATTCCTATTCACAAGAAACTTGTATTAATAGCAGGGTGGGGGCATTGCGGGAGCAATACGTTTGTCATGCTTTGTTCCTAAAGAGGAGCAAAATGACATCACTGTGTTGGGGTAAAGGTACCATGCGTCCAACTGTGGCTGATCAGAGCAATCTGTGCTGGGAAGGCTCTACCAGAGGTCAGGTGCAAATAGTCCATATGAACATTTGAAGTGGAGATGTCACTAAACCCATGCATTTAACATCAAGAGGAGAGTGGGTTTAAAGGATTCAAAGGAGGATCTTGTAGGGCATCTCATATGCATTTATTTACTTTAGTTTTTCTAGCCATTTTCTAATGGATGGATACTTGCTTTACTTCTAGTTCCCCACAATACATGCCAAAATAAATTTTGGTATCTATCAGACCTTTCATCTTTGACATTCTTAGGGTATATGCTCGGTAGTTGGGCCAATGGATGTAATGTTATGGACACCTCCATCACTCTTTTTGAATAATTCCAAATTGGTATATGAGTGGTTAGACCAATTCATGGAGCCACCAATCATGTAGGGGTATGCTTGCATCCCAATGGTAGGGCAGCTAGATAGTATAGCGGATAGAGCGCCAAGCCTGAAGTCAGGAAGATTCATCTTCATGATTTCAAATCTGGCCTCAGATATTTACTAACTGTGTGACCCTAGGCAAGTCACTTAACCCTGTTTGCCTCAGTTTCTCATCTGTAAAATGAGCTGGAGAAGGAATGGCAAACCACTAAATTATCTTTGCCAAGAAAACCCCAAATGGGGTCATGAAGAATCAGATATGAGTGAAAAATGACTGAATTCCCATGGTCCTTCCAACATCGATGGTTCCCACTTTTTTCTCATATTTGCTGGGTATGAGGTGAAACCTCAGAGTTATTTAAATTTGTATTTCTCTTATCACTTATGATCTGGAGTACGTTTTCACATGGTCACTTACAGGTTTCAGTTCTTTAGAAGACTTTACATCTTTTGGTTGTTTATTGGGGAAATGGCTCTTGCTAACACACACACACACACACACACACACACACGCACACACATTTGTAGCATTTTCCTAATCCTTTGGACGCTAGCATTTTGTTAGCAATATTTAATGGCTAAGGCACTACTGAAGGTTTTTAAGCAGAGGTCACGACCTGAGTCTTCGGAAGATCATTTTGGCACCTACACAGAAGATAGATTGGAAATAAAAGAGACTTGAAGCTGGGAGATTAATTAGGAGGCCATTGCAATGGCCCAGACAAGAGGTCATAAGGACCTAGACTAAGCAGGTGGCCATGTGAGTAAAGACCACAAATGTGAGAGGTATTAAGCAGATGGAATCGACAGGACTTGAGTCCTGAGAAGCTATGGGGGCAGGGGTCAAGGAAATGGGAAGAGTCAGAGGTTACTCTGAGATTTCAAATCTAAATGGCTGAGCGTGGCCCTAGATCAGGTCACACTACATTAATAACTTTTCTCTCCATGCCTGGAATGAAGAGATTTGAGAAGATTCCCCCCAACGACCCCTCTGCGGAGGTGTGAGGTGCAGAGGTGTTACACATTGCACACGTATTCAAACTGTCTCAATGCTTTTGTTGGTTGTGCTGATTTTTCCTCTTCTTTTTTTTTTCTTTAAAAGATTGTTTGATGTATGGGATGCTTCTCTGGGAGGGGAAAGCATAGGGATATTGAGGGAAAGCTATAATGATATAAAAACGAAAGATATTAATAAAAACTTACTTGTTTTGGCATTTTTTGTTTGTTTGGTTTTTTTAGTGAGGCAGTTGGGGTTAAGTGACTTGCCCAGGGTCACACAGCTACATTAAGTGTCAAGTGTTATGTGTCTGAGGCTGGATTTGAACTCAGGTCCTCCTCACTCCAGGGCCAGTGCTCTATCCACTGCACCACCTAGCTGCCCCAATAAAAACTTATAAAAACAATTTTGCTCTCTATGCATGTGCTTTCCTATTTGTGTTTCGTATGTCATAGGACTGGAAGAATCATAGATTTAGAGCTGAAAGGGACCTTTGAGGTCACCTGGTCCAACCCCCTAATTCTATAGATGAGGAAACTGAGACTCAAGAGCAATTAGCAGAACAAGGATTTGAAGTCCATTCCTGCAACTCCAGAGTCAGCACTCTTTCCCCTGCTCCACCCTGCCTCCCATCCTAAGTCCGTGCATCTTTTTCATAATTCTGCAAAAAGAGAGTTTAGGACTGGATGGCAGATTTGAGAATATCAGCATAGAGATGATCGTTAAATCCAAGAGCTCTGGATTTAACAGGCACAAAGAAGGGAAGGGAAAAGAATTCCAAGCAATTCCAAGTTCCGATAAAAGGCAAGGAGGTGGGAATGAAAGGGAATTTGTTTCCTCCTAACGAATGTTTGACTTGGCTGGATCCTAAACAACAAATTAATCTGAGCCTGATGTCTTGATAATCACAAGGAAGAGCTGGGGCAGGAGGAGAAAAGAAAACTTCCTTGTTCTTTTCTTTCTTCAGACTTTTTAAGCTTTATTTTAGGATAAGAGATTGTCCATTGAAAGTCCTAAGAATGGGGCAGCTAGATGGTGCTGTAGATAGAGCAGTGGCCCCGGAGTCAGAAGAACCTGAGTTCAAATCCAACACTTACTAGCTATGTGACCCTGGGCAAGTCACTTAACCCTGATTCACACACACACACGACCTAAGAATGCTGATAAACACATTAATCAACCACAGTTCCAAAGTACTCATGATGAAACATGCCACCCACCTCTAGATAGAGAGGTGATTCATTCAGAGTGCAGATTGAGCGATTTATGTGCATTTATGCATATATGCATATTTATGTGTATATATATATACATATGTGCATATATGTATACATGTACCTGTGTGTACATGTATGTATGTATACATATAAGAGGCAGCTAGATGATTCAGTGGATACAGCACTGGGTCCAGAGTAAGGAAGATCTGAGTTCAGATCAAGCTTCAGACACTCACTAGTTGTGTGACCTTGTTTGCCTTAATCCCCTGGAGAAGGATCCACTTTCCTACAGTGAGGTTATCTGATAAAGACTTCTCCGGTATCTTTGCCAAGAAAACCATACATGGTGACACAACTGAATGACATGTGTGCATATGTGTGAATGACATGGCCAATGCAGGAACTGGTTTTTGCTTGACTATACATCTTTATAATGATGGGGGGGAGGGGTGCTTTCTTAATGAGATAGGGTGGTAGAGGTGAGAGGGTGAGAATGTGGAGCTGAAAAAACGAAATTGAATTTTAAAATAATTTTTAAAGGCTAAGAGGTTATCATTGGGTGATGGGCCTTCCCCACCATCCCCATTCTTTCTCTTTGATCATTTCATCTGCTAATGGATCATTTCCTACATCCATCCATTTCATCCTCCCACCATGGCTGATAACTGATCCCAGGTGAGGAAGAGATTTCTTTAAAAACTGGCAGAGATGGTGGTGGGCAAAGACTCTAGGACTCAATGGGCAGAGCAGGCACTGATTGATCCAATCTTCCGAATGCCCCCCAGGCTTTAGAACCCTAGGAAAAAGAAACCTGCAAAGCGCAAAATTATGTACCTGGGCAGAATAGAAGACACATAACCAAAGATTTCATCTTCTGTTTAAGGCACCCCATTGGGTATTTCTTGTAAGCCACTTAATTCTGCTAATATTCCACAGTCTTGTGGTTCTGTTAGTTCCAGTAAGTGCCAAGGTGTCACTGAACATAACAGAAAATCCAATGCAGAAGTGATTTGGCAAAGAAAACTTCCCTTTGTTTTCCTGGACTCGGCCTCATTCATCTTTTTCTTCCTAATCTGCTTTATGCTTCTATCGCTTTGATCCCAGAAACAATAGCATTTTTGTCTGGGGTTTGTTTTCTTTAATAGCACCTGTCATACTTAAAACATTATTGTAAAAGCCTTTTGAAGCCCAGGTCTATGAGCACTCAGCACACCTCTTGGAGGCCCCTGGATGACAGCAGGGGCAACAGAGTGATGAGTAATAATAAGTCTTGGTTGTGAGAGAGATGGGTTTTGGTTACTATCGACGGATAATAAACACAGAAAGATAAAAATGATGGCAATGCTCTCTCCTGAGGCTACTGGGCCAGCTACCTCAAGGCCAGGAAAACAGGAGGCATAGAAAGGAGTACTAGACTAAAATCAGAATAACTGGGTTCTAGTTTCTGTTACCAGTTGTCTTTCATTTCCCTTCCTTGTGCCTCAGTTTCCTCCACTGTAAAATGAAGTATTTGGATGAGATGACTTCTAAGGTCCCTTCAAACTCTACAATGCTCCTTTATCTTGGGGCTCAGGATACCGATTTCTTTCCTGGGATATTTTCCTTCCCATGTCCCCAAGCAATATATGTAATAGGAGAATTCTCCTTGAATTAAAGGCTCCTGGGGAGATGACAAGAATACACCCATTCTCTGTGTGTGCCCCAACTCTGTTAGTGACCTAATCAGCTCTCATGGGTTCAATTATCAACTCTATGCAGATGTCTTCCAGCTCTATGTATAGCCAACTGTAGCCTCTCTCCCGACTTCCACTACCATCAGCACCTCAAACTCAACATGTCCAAGGTGAAATTCATCAATCAATCAACAATCATTTATTAAGCACCTACTATGTGCTAGACCTTGGAGGCTATGAAGACAAAAGTGAAGCAGTTCCAGCCCTGAAGGAGCTTCCAATCTAATATAACTCATCACTCATCTAGCTCTTTGAACATTCCCCCAAACCCATCCCTCCTCCAAACTTCCCTCCATCCTTCTGGGCACATGGGTTCAGAGCCCTGGAGTCATTCTCCATGCTTCTCTCCCCTTCCCTTTCTACTGATATTCTGTCAGTAGCCAAATTTGATTAATTTTACCTCCACAGTGCAGGTCTCATCCATTCCCTTCTTCCTACTCACCGAGCCCTACATCAGACCATCATCACCTCTCAATTGAACAGTTCCCAAAGTCACCTAATTAGCCTCCTTGTTTCCATACTCTCCCCTCTCCAATCCATCCTCTACATAAATGCAAAATTAATATTGCTAGTATTCCTAAATTAATATTTCACAGGTCTAATAGTGTCAATCACATGCTCAAAAATCTTCAATGGATTCCTATTATCTCTAGGACAAAATATAAACTCCTCTCCTTGGCATTTAAAGCCCTCCACAAAATTTGCTTTGCATGACTTCATATTTATAATTGGTTTTGTATTTCTTGCCTTCTTGATGGGTGGGGGTGGGAGGAAGGGAGGGAGAGGAGGGAGAGAATCTGAAACTGCAAATAAAATAAAATTGAATTTTAAAAAATAAAGCCTCTCACCATCTGGTTCCCACCTGCCTTTCCAGATTTAATTCATATTTTATTACTCTCCTTCTTTTGATCTCTATTCCAGACAAACTGGCCTGCTACCTTTTCCCCTAAATCACTATGCAGCCTGGTCACTTATAGATTTCATGACTGTAGCTGTCTCCATGCCTATAGCCTTCAACCCATTCTCCAGGTCCAGAGTATACCCCCTTCCCACCGCTACCTCGTAGAATCCTTAGCTTCCTGCAAGGCTCAGACTAAGGTCTCAGACCAAGGTCTCAGACCTTGGCCACTCCTGATTCCCTGCCATTGAAATTTCCCTCCTGAAATTACATTGTACTCACTCATCTGGGTACATGTAACCTCCTACTAGAATAGAAGCTTCTTGAGGGCAGGGATTGTTTTTTTTTTCATTTTTGTCTGTGTACCCCTAGTACCCCTTCACAAAGATCTGTTGAACTGAATTGAAGTGAATTGAATTGCAGTCTGTTCATTCCCTTTGCTCACAACTCTTCCTTGCTCAGAATTCTTCCCCCCTCCCTTCTTTCTGCCTATTAAAATCCTCCTGTCAAAACTCATCCCAGTGTAGCCACTCCTTCCTCCATGAAGCCTTTCCTGCCACACTGATTTAATTCAAAAATCACTAAGCACCTACTACGGGCATACAGAAGAGACACTGAGCTCTACCTTCTCTAAACTACTGTGCTCATTATCTGCTCCAGTCCTCTTATTTCATTTGTAACTCATGGCCCAGAACCCCGAGATATGAGATTTCATGGACTAGATTCAATGTTGGGGACTACCCCCACAAAAATCATACTTTGGCTCCATTTGGCCACACCCACAGTCACTCCTGGGAAATATCAGAATATAGCTCAAATATCATCAAATATCACATCAAATATCATGAGAATATAGTTCAAATATCAAATATCACACCACTTGTGTCTGGTATCCATATTCATAACAAGCACAGTAACAATGGATATCAGGTATAGGAAAGCCATTATTTACCCCATAGGAAATGCAGAAAACACATAAAAGATTCACAATACACCATAGCAAACACAATTTTCCCCTTTCTACGGTGAGTCTTACCTTTCTTCCAGAGCTCTGTACAGAAGCCCCAAACTCACAGCAGGATCCTGCGTATTGCACTCCTATCAGAAGAGAATTGCATTTGTGGTTGTTAGAATCGAGCCCCCACCAGTTTATGAGTCTCCTCATCACATACAGGACAGCCTTATGGTACCATCCTGGGGGCTTGAATGCCCCTGGAAAGGAAATACACTTGGAGCAATCCCTCAAAAAGGTGAAAGCTAAAATACTGGAGGGAGACTGTTTTGCTTTTGCAGTTGAAAAGAACAGAGGTCTCCTAATATCAGAAAAAGACTCAGACCTTAAGAATGGGGACATTTTAAAGATGCTGGGCAAAAAAGGGAAAGGATTGGGAGAGTGTACAATTTGAAGCTGCTGGTATTAAGGCAGGTGAGATAACTTAGGAAGTGGTTTGGTTGGTTGGGGTTTTTTTGATCCTGCCTGAGAATTTTGACCATGAAAATATACCTGAGAAATTAACAGTAGGAAGCTATTCCTGGGAATTTCAAACTTGTTCATCCTCTGAAGATGAGAAACTTAAAGAAGTAGGAGCCCTTCCAATTAGAGGAGGCATTCCTACGGAGAGACTGAATGTTAGAATTACACTCAAGAACTCCACTCCATCTATGAGTAAGGCAGAGGGTTTACCCTCTTGGATATACAGATATCATAAGCCCCAAAGTGGCATTTTTTTGGACATGAACTGTGTCCCCCAGGAGACCAATCATGGGAGTGTTGGATTGGATAGGTAAGCATGCACCTGGAACAGATTTCAGAAAAACATGGAAAGGCTTACACAAACAGAGCTGAGTGAAATGAGTAGAACCAGGAGAACACTGTGCACAGTAACAGCAACATCGTGCAATGATTAACTATGATAGGCTTAGCTCTTCTCAGCACTGCAAGAATCTAAGACAACTCCAAAAGACTCATGATGGAAAATGCTATCCATATCCAGAGAAAGGACTATAGAGTTTGAATGCAGATCAAAGCATAGTATTTTCTCTTTTCTTCTTTTTTCTTTCTCGTGGTGTTTCCCTTTGGTTCTGATTCTTCCTTACAATATCACTAATGTGGAAATAGGTTTAATATGATTATACATGTATAACCTATATCACATTCCATGCCATCTTGGGGAAGGACAAGGGGAGAGAGAGGGAGAAAATTTAGAACTCAAAAGCTTATAAAAGCAAACGTTGAAAACTAAAAATAAATAAATTTTACAATTAAAAAAATGTGACTGGGACACTAGAAGGTCCTTGAAGCAGACAAAGAGATGTGATGGTCAGATAGCCCAACGGAAATAGCTGCAAAGGCAGTGAATAGTGCCTCAAAGAGGCAAGGTCAGACATCACTTGGCAAGAATGTTTGCAAATCAGCTCAGATATTTGAGGAGGGTGGATCAGAAGACCTCATGATAATTTTGTCCTTCACATCCTGCAGCACAAAGGAGAAAAACCTAGTGAGTTCCTCCTTACGGTGGAGCAACATGTGCAGAGATTGATACAGATAGGCCTTGTGAAAATGGAGAAAAAACTGGGGCTCAGTACATGACCTTCATGCAACTGATGTCATCAGACCTATGCAGACACAGAAACCATTGCCAGCGATGGTGGAGGTGAGATGGGTACCCTGAGCTTCAAGGATCACTATAGTCCACAAGGCTCAGCCTCAACAGGCTCCAAGCCTTCTCTAGTGTGAGCCACAGGGGCATAGAAGGACAGCAGAACCAGCAGGTCTGAGCTGCTATCACAGAACCTGAGACAATCAGTTAAGAGATGGAGCACTGCATAATCCCATTCTTGGAGAGGTAGAGGACCAAGAGAATGGAAGGCACGAAGATCTGACATAAGAACATCTCCATCAGGTAATCATGAGAGTGACAGGCCCACCTTTTGTTATAATTATGGATTAGATTAATATACTTATATCAAATGTGCTGGCAAAGAGAATACAGTCTTAGTTATGAAGAAATTAAAATCTTATGATCCACCTTCAGGAAACCTGAACAGGGTCAGCAAAGGATATCACCCTGGAACCCAAGGACCATAATATTGACCTCATCATCAATTCCCAATAGGACTATTCCACCTGGACTCATAGTACCTTCTGCAGAAGTGATTCTAAAAATCAAGAATGTGGATGACAATGCTGTCCTGGACAAATTACAATAATTTTTCAATTTTTTATGACAGGTATTTGGGTAAAATATCATTGAAGCATATGACAAGGGCTTGGACCTGATGGTTTGAATGATAAAGATTATCCATACCTGAGATATAGTCGGATGAGCTTGAAATTTCCCAAGGAAGTTGTTTATGTCAACAAAAACTGGACACTCTGGTTCTGGTATATCCAAACCCTCCACTACTCACTGGAGTGTCAGCGCTAATTGAAACTAATTCTAGCTTTCTCAAAATTTTAACAGGATAGGCCAAGGTGGCGGCGTGAAAGAAGTGACTTGCTTGAGCTCTCCCCCAAACCTCTCCAAATATCTGTAAAAAAATTAGCTCTAAACAAATTCTAAAGCAGCAGAACCCACAAAAAGACAGAGTAAAAGAAATTTCCAGCCCAAGACAGCCTGGATGGTTGATCGGAAAGGCATATCGCGTAGGGCGGGTAGAGGAGTGCAGTTCGGCATGGGCGCACAGGCCACAGCAAACCTGGAGCAGGCCTCAGAGGACTGAATCACGGGCAGCTGTGGCAGCTTCCAGACTCCTAAATTCAGGAACACCAAAGACAACTTAGAAGGTCAGTGGGAAAAGTCTGTTTTTTCAGTGAGAGAAGAGCTAGGTCAGAGCCAGTTCTAGAGTGCAGAGCACAGAGCGCAGGCACCGGGGCAGTGGCTACATCCTGAGCTTCCGGCCCACAGACTGAGGGGGAATCAAGTGGCTGATCAGAGGGGGACTGCAGGGATCTCTTTGCTGGTGCTGAGGCAGGAATCTCTTGCTTTGCCCGTGCTTGGATCTGGGTCACAGTTCTGGGTGGCGGTCCTGGGGTAAGGAGGAGGGCTGGCACGGTGGAGCTTGTAGTGGCAGTGGAGAGGAAACTCTCCTCACAGTTCCAAAAGAGAAAAGACCGCTTGTGGCCGGTCACGAAAAGACCGGAGCACAGGCCAGGAAAAGAGTAAACACCTCGCCCCTTATCATACCACCTTGGAAGAACTGAAAATTTACAGGTCCCTACAAGTATCTCTGAAAACAGCTATACAAACCCCTGAAGCTTGGGACAGTACATTCTCCACATTGGAAGCAGACTTTTACCTTAACAAAGAGTTTAAAACTCAAGTAGTTGGCTGGGATCATGAGCAAACCTTGCAAAAAGAGTCAGACTATATTATCTTACTTTGGTGACAAAGAAGATCAAAACATACAACCAGAAGAAGACAACAAAGTCAAAGGTCCCACATCCAAAGCCTCCAAGAAAAATATGAATCCGTTCCAGGCCTTGGAAGAGCTCAAAAGGGATTTTGAGAAGCAAGTAAGAGAAGTAGAGGAAAAACTGGGAAGAGAAATGAAAGTGATGCAAGAAAATCATGAAAAACAAGTCAACAGCTTGCTAAAGGAGACCCAAAAAAATACTGAAGAAAATAACACCTTAAAAAATAGCCTAACCCAAATGGCAAAAGAGGTCCAAAAGCCAATGAGAGAAGAATGCCCTAAAAAGCAAAATTGGCCAAATGGAAAAGGAAGTCCAAAAGCTTACTGAAGAAAATACTTCCTTAAAAATTAGAATAGAGCAATTGGAAGATAGTGACTTTATGAGAAATCAAGACACAGTAGAACAAATCCAAAAGAATGAAAAATTAGAAAACAATGTGAAATATCTCATTGGAAAAACAACTGACCTGGAAAATAGATCCAGGAGAGAGAATTTAAAAATTATTGGACTATCTGAAAGCCATGATCAAAAAAAGAGCCTAGACATCATCTTTCAAGAAATTATCAAGGAAAACTGCCCTGATATTTTAGAACCAGAGGGCAAAATAGAAATTGAAAGAATCCACAGATCTCCTGAAAGAGATCCCCAAAGGAAAACTCCTAGGAATATTGTAGCCAAATTCCAGAGTTCCCAGGTCAAGGAGAAAATATTGCAAGCAGCCAGAAAGAAACAATTCAAGTATGTGGAAACACAATCAGGATAACACAAGATTTAGCAGCTTCTACATTAAGGACGAGGGCATGGAATATAATATTCTGGAGGGCAAAGGAGATAGGATTACAACCAAGAATCACCTACCCAGCAAAACTGAGTATAATCCTTCAGGGGAAAAAATGGTCATTCAGTGAAATAGAGGACTTTCAAGCATTCTTGATGAAAAGACCAGAGCTGAATAGAAAATTTGACTTTCAAATACAAGACTCAAGTGGAACATGAAGAGGTAAACAGGAAAGAGAAATCATAAGAGACTTATTAAGAACTGTTTACATTCCTGCATGGAAAGATGATATTTATAACTCATGAGACCTTTGTCAGTATTAGGGTAGTGGGAGGGAAAAATTATATGTATGTCTGTATAGATAGAAGATAGATAGATAGATAGATAGATAGATAGATAGATAGATAGATAGATAGATAGATAGAGGCACAGGGTGAGTTGAAGATGAAGGGGTGATATCTGGAGAATAAAATTAAGGGTGAGAGAGGATTATACTAGGAGAAGGAGAAAGGGAGAGGTAGAATGGGGTACATTATCTTGCACAAACAGACAAGAAAAGGTTCTTACAGTGGAGGGGAAACAGGGAAGGTGAGAGGAAATGAGGGAATCTTATTCTCATAGGATTTGGCTTAAGGAGGGAATAACATACACACTCAATTGGGTATGGAAATCTGTCTTACCCTACAGGAAAATAGGGGAGGAAGGGGACAAGAGAGCAGGGGGATGATAGAGAGAGGGCAGATTGGGAAAGGGGTAATCAGAAGGAAGTACTTCTGAGGAGGGACAGGGTCAAAAGAAAGAATAGAATAAATGGGTGGGGCAGGATAGGATTAAGGGAAATAGAGTTAGTTTTTCACAACATGTCTACTATGGAAGTGTTTTGCATAACTGCACATGTATAACCTATATTGAGTTGCTTGCCTTTTCAATGAGGGTGGGTGGGATGGGAGGAAGGGAGAAAATTTGGAACCCAAAGTTTTAAAAACACATGTTTAAAAAAAAATGTTTCCACATGCAACTGGGAAATAAGAAACACAGGAAATGAGGTACAGAAATCTATCCTGCCCTACAGGAAAATAGAAGGGGAAGGGGATAAGAGAAGGGGGGAGAGATAGAAGGGAGGGCAGACTAGAGAAGGGGTAGTAAGAATGTGTGCCATCATCGGGGGGGGAGGGGCAAGATGGGGTGAAAATTTGGAATTCAAAATCTTGTGGAAGTAAATGTTGAAAACTAAAAATAAATAAATTTCTACATAAAAAAAATTTCAACAAGATACTGCAAGCAACAAGCTGGGGCCCAATACCTACACACTTTGACCATCCATGCAGACTGTGCAGAAGCTGTACAAGAAGATGGAGACAAGAGGTTCCAGTGAACATCACAAGAGCCCCAAGTATTCACCTTCTGTGCTGGATCCTGGGGTTCAACTTTGGGGACTCCCTAGTACCACAAGAGGAAAAGTATAGATTGAGGCTGGAGTTCAGCAAGAGGACAGGTATGTTTCAGTGCATGAGTGGGATGTGGGGTATACTCAAGGTACAACCCACAGAACCCAATTTACTGATTCTTGATCATTCAGAGAAAGATCAGAGGGTTCCCCTGTCTATGACGGATCATCTCAGAAACCATCTCAAAGAAATGTTGGTCAGTGGAATCATCACAGACTCTAGGAGCCATATGCATCACCCATGGTGGTTGGTGGCTAAGAAAAATGTAAAGTTTGGGGGCAGCTAGGTGGCGCAGTGGATAGAGCACTGGCCCTCAAGTCAGGAGGACCTGAGTTCAAATCTGACCTCAGACCAGATACTTGACACTTACTAGCTGTGTGACCCTGGGCAAGTCACTTAACCCCAATTGCCAGAAAGAAAGAAAGAAAGAAAGAAAGAAAGAAAGAAAGAAAGAAAGAAAGAAAGAAAGAAAGAAAGAAAGAAAGAAAGAAAGAAAGAAAGAAAGAAAGAAAGAAAGAAAGAAAGAAAGAAAGAAAGAAAGAAAGAAAAATGGAAAGTTACAAACTGAACCTTGAATGAAAAGACAAAAGTGGACCAGTACACAATGCCATGGGTGCAAAATACCCTGCACTGTCTGCTGAGCAGCCAGTGGTCTTCAGTCTTAGACTTGCATAGTGTATACTCTACCAGATTGCTATCTCTGAGAGAAGACAGGGATAAGACTGCTTTCTTCATTCATTGGACTTTCAAGTTAGCTGACTGACACCTATGCGTTTACTTTACAAAGTAAATGAGAGACTTGGCAACACCCTTGTTTACAAAAGGCCCCAGAGAATGGGCCCCAGAGGTCCAGGGGGCATTGAGAAGCCTGGATCAGTGAGTGCCTGCTTTGTTCATTGAGTTCAGAAGTCTTTGCTGGCCACTATCAATTCAATAGTAGTAGTAGTAGTAGTAGTAGTAGCAGCAGCAGCAGCAGCAGCTGCAGTAGTAACAGTAGCAGCATTAGTAGTAGTAGTAATTGCTGTTATTATTGTCATTTGTCCTTTGTTCTAGAAGAGGACCATGACATCTGGAAGATGATACCATGATTTGGATGTAAATTAGATTTAAGTGAGGGAGGGCTGTGCAAGGTCACCAGTCTCACTTTCTCCTCCCAAGGCATCTGGGTCCAGTGGTAAGATACAGATCAGGACAACTGGAGATGGCCCCCAGTAGTAGGAGTAGGAGTAGTAATAGTAGTACTCACTGTTGTCAGGGAAAGGAGAGTTTGCTGACTCATGACTCTGGGTTGGGGGACACCACACCCTGGGAATTTCCTTGGGTCTCAGAGGAAGTGAAAGAGACGTTCTAGTGAAAGAGAGCCGTTGGGATCTGTTCTCCACCATGTCCGTTGTCCTTGACCTCTGACCACCACCAAATGGCTTCCCCACCCCCATTAGTCTCTACCACTCCTGCCCACTCCGACCCCTCATCCAAACCCTCTTGGTCTCCTTTTCATTCTCTGTCTCTCCACATGGTCTTGATCTCCATACCATCTCCCCCCTCCCCAATTAGTCCCCTGCACTACATGGTCTATCCCTCTCCTCTATTGGTCTCCATTTTATTCCATTTCCTCACTGTTCTCTGTTCTAACACCCACAGGGCCCAGGACCTTTCTCCTACTTCATCGTTTCCCCTCCATTTCTCCCTTTTCCTCTCTCTTTAATACCCCCGCCCTTCCCTTAGAGTTCCGATTCATCATCCCCTTGGGTACCCAGTACCTGACAGCCTTCCCCTTTGGTCTCGGTTTCTCCCTTGTTGGTCAACCGTCCTCCCCACTGGTGTCCCACACATTCCATTCCTTCCTGTTTCCGTTTTTTTGCTTTCCGTTTCATTCCATACCTGCCTCACCTCCGTTCTATACGCACCCCCAGCCCAGCCCCGGGTCCGTTGGGGGTCTGTTGGGGCTTCCCGCTGGCCAAACAGAAGTCCCAGCCCTGGTGAGGCACCAGCGTCCTGGCCGCTGCCCCCCAGACCCGGCAGTCCACCCATCCAGCTCCCTTTGGAACCTGGCACTGCCCCTGCCCCTCCTCGGGGTCGCTGCTACCGCCTGGGGCTGCATTGGCTACAAAGAGGCTCAGGCTACCGCGCAAAGGGTCTGCGGCTGGCCCCGGAGGTGGGAGCCCTCACTGGAGTCATCCAGGCTGGGGGTGGCTTCTCCTTGGGCCCCAAAGGAAACTAGGGACCAGTCCTGGGAGAAGTTGGGCACTGGATGGGACCAGGGTTTCCAAGTCTTGGAAGGAAAGGCGACCAACCACCCCCACTCCTGTCCCACCCACCCCACCGTACCGGCACCACACCCCTAGTACCTCAGTCTCTCTCCCTTCTGCCCGTAAGTCTAAGAAACAGAAAGACCTGAGCGACTCAAGTTCTTGCCTCCAACGCTTAATGAGGCTCTGTGATCTGGGGCAAGTCGGACAACTTTTTCTGAGCCCCAGTTTCCTCATCTGTAAAATGAGGATAATAATAGCACCTACCTCCCAGGGTTATTGTGAGAATAAAATGAGATATTTGCAAAGTGCTTTGCAAACCTTAAAACATCATATACACGTTAGCTATTACTATGTATGTAAAATGCTTTTTAAAGTTGTTATTGCTACTATCATTATTGTCTTTCCCCTCGCTCTGACACAGGAAGCAGTGCTGAGGGCTCTGGGGACAGAAGGCCAATCCCTGCTCTCCTCTCTGGACCTCTGGGCCTGCAGGAGTTCAGGCCCATTGCTGAAAGGCTGAGGAAAATCAACAGACTAGAGGTGGATGGATGATGAACATGAGAGAAGAGGAAACATTGTGGCATCACCTTAAAGTAAAGCTTCATTTTCCCACCTGAGGAATAGCCCACCTGCTCCTCCACGGCAGGATGAGGACAAGAGAGGACACATGAGAAAATCCCTGGACCTGGCAAAGTGCTGCAGAAATGCTGGAAACCATTATTAATGGTCACTATCACCAAAGAGTAATACTCATTGACTGACCAAGCCAATGACCAGCCTCCTCAGACCCCCAAGCTCCTTTTGTCATGGGTTTTAGTATGATCTCAGCTGCTCTCAAAAATGGAATTTCAGATACTTTTAGGTTGCAGTTTACAAATGTGTAAATAATAAAAGCTAGTAGGACCTCATCCTTATTCTTCTCCACAGTCATGCTTTGGGAACAACATAAAGGAAAATCTAGAATTCTAGTACAAGAAGGCGATGGACTTCTTAGAGTTTTATGTGGTCCAACTCTCACATTTTACAGCTGAGGAAACTGAGACCCAGAGAGAGACATCAAAGTCCCTTTTTAAAAGACTTACAAGACTGTAGAATAAGAGAATTTAAAACACCCAAGAAACACCATTTGAGGCAGTGTGAATCAATAGATTAAAGCATTAATATAGCCTCCAAAAGACCTGGATTCACATCTCACACTAGTTGTGCCATGCCAGGCAAGTGACTTAACCTCTCTGAGTCTCAGTTCCCTAATGTCTAAAAGAGAAATGATTAGACTTAGAACAAGATTGTTGTTTTTATAAAGCCTAAATTTCTCTTTAGATATGTGCAATATTATTCCTTCTCCACCTGAGAGGCAATATGGTTTAATGGATAGAAAGCTGGCCTCCAAGCCAGGAAGATCTAGTTAAGTTAAAGTCCTGCCTCTGAAGGACACATCCAGGCTATGTGACCCTGGTTGAGTCACTTCTCGGTGCACTAGGAAACTCTCTAAGATGAAATGTTGCAAAGAAGGTGCTAGGGGAGGAAGCTAGGTGGCTGAGTGAATCGAGGGTCTTCAGGAATACCTGAATGCAAATGCAACCTCAGAGACTTCCTAGCTGTGTGACCCTGGGCAAATCACTGCTGTTTGCCTCACTTTCCTCAGGTGTAAAATGGAGATAAAAATGGCACCTAGCTCTCAGAGTTGTTATGAGTATAAAATGAGTTGATATTTGTAAATACTATATAAATGCTAGCTATTATTACTAAGACCCAAATTGATAGAGGGAGTTCCCTCTTGCTGGAGTTCCCTACACCAATGAAATGATACTTCTAGCTATATCTCTCCATCTTTTCTATAGAAATGGCATGAGAGACTTTGTCAAATGCTTTGCTAAGTTCTAAATGAAGTACCTACTTAATCTACCAGTTTAGAAACCCTGTCAAAAAAGGAATAAGACTAGATTCTAGTCCCTTCTTGTTCCACTTTCTTCTTTCCCCATCCCTCCTCTACCTTAACAAAATAAAAATAAAAATAAACTGAAGCCTAGAGTGGGGAGGACTTGCCCGAAGACATAATCATTCACCTTTCATTCCCCAAACATTTCCCTTCTGCATGCAGATCACTGGGGAAAGCACAAAGTTTAGCTAAGACGTGGTTTCTAACTTCCTGGTTCTTACAGCCTAGTAGATAACCCATAAATGACAGGGGGCTCCCCCAATTTACCCCATTAAAGAAGCTGGACTAGGTCCCAGCTCTCCTGGCTCCTACTTTAAGTAGTTTTTCAACTACACCAAAATTTTTATTTTACCACTTAGGTTCCTATAATAGAGGTGTTGAGGTGGCCTAGTTTGAATCTTGCTTCAGATACTAATTAGCCTGTCACCCTGAGCAAGTCCCTTAACATCTCTCAGCCTCCATGTCCTCATCTGAAAATGGAAATAAAAAGGCACCTTCTCACAGGGTTATTATGAGAATAAAGTGAGAATATCTATTGAGCACTTTGCAAACCTTTAAGCACTACCTACATACTCCCTTTTTATTATTCTTTTTGTGGATCCATTGTTGACTTCCACAAGGGTCTCCAGGATAACTTAAGCTGCATGGCAGTCATCCCCATTTTCGAGGTGGGAGAAGTGAGGTTGATGTGGCTACAAGAAATTCACTAGTGTGCTTACAATTCATAAGCACCCCCACAAAAGATGGCAGCCAGGGCACTTAACCCATGGGGAATATGGATCAGCAGCATAATATTGGTTAGAACAATGTCAGTGAAGCTAAAAGGAAAAGTGAACTAAGGTTTGGGGAAATGATACAAACCACAAACTGGGTTTTCTTAGCTGCATCCTGGCCAGAAGGATTAGAATCACTGCCTGGTAGGAACCACAATAACAGCTAACCTTTCGGGCAGGTAGGTGGCACAGTGGATAGAATACTGGCCCTGGATCAGGAGGACCTGAGTTCAAATCTGGCCTCAGATACGTAACACTTACCAGCTGTGTGAACCTGGACAAGTCACTTAACCCCACTGCCCAGCCAAAAAAAAAAAAAACTAACCTTTCAAGGGTCTTTGGAAGTCACAAAGCACTTTCCTCCCAATAATATGGCAAAAGATGACCTGAGGGAAACAAACCTGGACCACTCAGCTTCTATTCTGCTCTTCTCTGTCAAGAAAGATGATCACCCAACTGAAAAGGGAAGAACCAAAAGGTTTCAGGAGAAACTGAAGCCCAAGAAGAGGGTGGACTTGGTAAGAATACTCTCAGGTGTTCTAAAGGCCAACTGACCCAGCCCAGCTACATCATGGGTTCTAGAAGAGCCTGTAAATGTGCTTGCTCAGCTGCTGAAGGTTCTCTCCAAGGAGCCTCAGGACTGGAGTCAAGCAAATGTAAGTGGTGTGTTTAACAACCTGTCCTCCAGAAGAAAATAAACACACACACACACACACACACACACACACACACACACACACATATCTATGACACACATTTAAGTTTAATTTATATTAATATTTTCTCCATCAATTTCTTAAATCTAGACAATCAATGAAACAATTACACAAGCCCTGATTTGCAGCATTTTGCCATTTCTGAGGTATAAATGCTCCCACTGATAATTGAACAATCAGTTTTCCAGAGCCAATTTGAGCTGGCTCTGGCACACCCCTAGAAATATCCCAATCTTTAAAAAAAGTCTCTGTAAAGAACTCATAATTGTAGAAGAGATACCAGTGGTTTGGGATCACTTGCAAAGAGAGGCAATGATCTATAGGAGACAACACAGGTTCCCTAAGAAAAAGTCATGTTAAAGATGGAGAAGAGAAGCCAGGAAGTTGCCTCTGCTCTCCCCAGTTTCCCTCAGAAATGTTAAATCAAGCCTCTAAATGGATTCTGGAGTGACAGAACCTACAAAAAGATGAAGTGAAACAATTTTTCAGCTAAAGATACCTTAGAAGGACTTCAGGAAAGGTCTGTCTGACTTGGGTAAAAGGGGAGTGCAGCCCAGCAGAGATGGTGTTTGGAGGAAGGAGGCTCTTAGCCTCAGCAACCCAGGCCTCTTTGCCCTGGATCAGCAGGCCAGCTGTGAGATCTCGAGCCCTGGTGCAGAAGGCAAATTGACAGCCCTGGAAACCAGACAACAGGCATAGCTTGGCCAAGCCACCCCTGTTCAGTGAGCAAGCCACTAGTACCTGAGGTCCCAGTGCACAAAGCCAATGACCAGGCAGTCCCCTGGTTCCCAGCACAAGTTTGTGACAGGGCCCCCTATACCCCAGGAGCAGAGCTCAATATTAAAAGCCATGAAATAGACCAAAAAATTAGCAAAAAGAGCTTTCACCACAGAAAGCTACTATGGTGACAAGGAAGATCAAAATACAAAATCAGAAGAGAACAACATTGTTGGAATGCCTAAATGCAAAACCTCAAAGGGGAATATGAATTGGTCTCAAGTCCAAAAAAGCCTTCTTGGAAGAGCTCAAAAAAAGATTTTAAAAGTCAAATAAGAGAGGTAGAAGAAAAATTGGGAAAAGAAATAAGAGTCATGCAAGAGAGAGTCAACAGCTGGGAAAAGTAAGGACAATAATTGACTGA